CAAAGTGTGATGGGAGAGGTAGAGAAGGAGAGATGGATAGTTAAAGGAAGAAGGGAGAGGGAGAAAGGGTGAGGCCTGGGTGAAAGTCTCTCTACCTTACTGGCATCTGCAGCAGCATGAGTTTGTTTTGGCGTCAGACAGTGGAGCAGTCAACCATCGGTACACTTTGTGTGTTTGTGTGGATGCTAGTATGTGTGTACAGATACAGCCACGTCTGTAGTCTGGGTCTAGAAACTGTATTCCCTGATGTGGCAGTGACTTTTGACCTGTGTGTGGGCTCTGAAAAGGAAACGCATCATCATTCTGTTTGCTGGTTTCTCCTGACCAATCATATTAAAGTCCTAGGTGTCTGCAAAATGAAGCTGAGGCCGATCTGATTGCTAAACACAGCCTCCGTTTGTCTTCGGTAGAGTAGCCTGTCAAAGTGAATAACATCTGAACAGTTTAAATCCAGATCAACATCTTCTTCAGTGACTTTCTGTTTCATAAACCCAGTGTCAGAACAGAAAGTGGCAACATGATGGATTTTTTGATTCACCCTTTCTAAACATATTCTATGTAACAAAGCAGAAGTATGTCTGTATGTCAAAAAAACATAGTATATTAGTATACAATGAAGAACGCTATAGTTTTTCTATATGATATCAGATGAAGACAAAAACCCAGCTTTGACCAATGCACTTTAAAATCAGTTTTCTTCCATCATAATTTTTTATTTTATCCTCAAACATAAATAATGTCAATTTAGTCGCTCCACAGTGTAGCTTTTATCATGCATGACTTAAACATCTGCCTTACACGCAGAAGGTCCTGGGTTTGAGCCCCATAGGAACAACATACTTAATGGCGCCTCCTGTGGCAGCCGGTGTGTGTTGCAAAGACTCACACTGTGAATTTCCCAGTTGTGGGATGTATAAGGGACTTTTTATTATTATTTTATTATTAGGAGAGCTGTGGCTTGAACATGTCTAGTTAAACCTAACCTTTGTTTTTCTAACTGTGCTACTGGGTGGCTAGTTGTTTTAACCCTTGGTTCTCACTTAGTAAGATTGATTGATTGCTTGTTCCCTGTTCTGGAAGCTGATGCGTGCAGTTTTCTGTCCTCAGACTCAGTAAGAGCCAGAGACTCGTAATTTGAATCTGTCAGCTTACTTACAGATATAAATATTACACTAAAACACTTTGTAATTTTTTTGTTTGTTTGTTTTTTTTTCTGTCTTTTTGCACTTTTGGAACCAGGTCTTGAGTTGTTTCATTTATAGTTGCTATCTATTCTGTTGCTATATCAAACAAGTGTATTCTTAGTGAAATTTGGGATTCTGTTTTTAATGATGACATGACAAAGATTCCTTTTTTGTATTCAGCTACAGTGTTCGTCTGTGAAGCAAGTTGAATTGGTGACGTTGACTGTCAATTTCACTGAAGGCTTTGGTTGTGTTGGTCCTTTGTAATAGGTTTACCATTTTGAATGAAAATGGAACAAATGCAGCCAGAAAGCACAGACTGGTGATCACCATCATCGGACAGAGCTTCTACGGTTTTTTGAGTTTCTTCCTGAAATGTAAGAGGAAATGATATCCACCTAAGCAGAAAGAAGCAGTTTCAAATGTGCAAATAATGCAAATGTTATTTAGGTTTTCCTGCAGTCTCTGTGTGGTGAATATATTATTATCAGATTTGTCAGTGTGACGCCACAAAAGGGCTTTGTTTGTTTTAGACATAGGCGACGACGCTTGTTCATGTTTTGTCAGCGTTTATACACTCAATAAATTGAGAAGCGGTTGGTTCTGTGGCTAGACTGTCAGAGTGGGGGAAAGAAATTCAATACACGTGTGTTTGTGTGTGTGTGTGTGTGTGAGAGAGAGAGAGAGAGAGAGAGAGAGAGAGAGAGCGAGCGAGAGAGAGTACTTTATGGTGCTCATTTTCATGTGAAAGGGCTACAGCTGCTCTGTAAATAAAGAAATTATTCATGCTTTAGTCTAATGCTGATACAAATAGTACACAGGCAAAGCGTGTGTTTATGTGCGTGTGTTTAAATTTAACCTAAAACATGAAGCTCTCAAGGACAAACTGTGCTCACATTTTAATACAGTAAATTACATAGGTGTCACTTAAAGTATGTTCATGCACAAAAAATATTTATGAAAATGTTTTTTTTTCAACCACAGAGAACATAGTACTCTAGTACAGTATATTTCTAAAAGGCCATAATGTAAAGATTTGTATTTGTATATTTTGAATTAGAGACTTTTGCTTGTTGACATATTTGACATCTCCAGCATGTTTAATTTGATGTGTGTTCAACATGGTGTCGAGGCAGCAGTGGTCTGAGTTATGGTCGCAGTTCATGTTAAAAAGACATTATGGGTGAAACAAAACAGCAGAGAAACACCCAGAGCCCGTAGAAACACCTGGTCAAACACCATACAGTTCATGTAAGCTCAATGTGTCGTCTTTCATACCTGCACCTCAGAATGTATTTCAAGGCTAAATATTGGTTAATTACAGGTTGCATTCCATGGGACAAATTTAGGACACATGTAAGCTGTCTGAGAAGAGATGAGAGATCTAATATCATATCCATTTAGAAAGTTAAACACTCTGGGACAAAAATGAGTGGCTCTGTGCCTTGTGTGTAAATATTTTTACCATATACAGTATGTACAGGTCTTTCATCTTAAGAAGATGAAGTACATTCTCCTGTACCCAAAATAAATCCAATCTCTGCATAACGGCCAAAGTAGCAGGTTAGGGTAAATTCTAAAAAAAAAAGTTGAAGATGCTTTCGTATAAACATTACCATTTAACAACTTTTGATGGAACAACTATTTGTGTAGCTTTCAGTTGTATTACACGTTAACATTGTTAACTTCCTCTGCAGATGTAATTTGAACATTTGGAATAAGGGTACTTCCTGTTTTCTTTGTTAAACAACATAAAACATTATTTCACCAATTAGTTTACAGTTATTTCACAATTAAATGTAAACTAACTTATTAAACATGATGCCCTAAGGCCAACAACAAACCAAAATTGTGCAGCCATTAATCCAAAGCAAAACTAAACATGTCCACATTCACTGCCTGTTATAGTCTCTCTCTCTCGTCCTCTCTCTCTCTGTCTCTCTCTCTTTCTCACTCTCTCTCTCTCTCTTTCTCTCCCACTCTCTGTCTCTTTCTCTCTCTCTCTCTTTTTCTCTCTCTCTCTCTCTTTTTCTCTTTCTCTTTCTAACCCATTTCATGTGACTCACAAACCTACAAAATCACACACATGCACAGCTATATTTTGTAGCCTTCCTTTTATGGCAACATTTCCTGATCCGTGGAGTTTCAGTTCAGCCTGAGATTTTAAAAACAAAGGCCCCTAAACCTCACACAATATTTCAGATGGTATTTGGCTGTATATGTTAGATTATCACTTGGAAGGAAGTTTTTTTTTTTGATTGGATAGCATTGTGAAAAATGTGAGTTTCTTTTTAGATTCAGAGACAAAGGATAAGGGACAGTTTGAGGCAGGTTATAGTACAGGATTTCTTCTTCAACACTCTCGTGATTTTCAGTCTGTTCTCTTGAGTTGAGTTCGGAGGTGGAGTGTGTCTGGATCGAAACTTTGTTGTGTTTCATCATACTTATTTATCGTACGTAATTTACATACAGATGATAAGTCTCTCAAACATATGCAGCCTCTCTTGTAGTATGTAAGTTTTTGCAAAAACAAATACAGAAACTTGTAACATGTAGTTTATGTGTAGTAAATAAATAAATATCCCTCACACTGTCCACTGTGAGCTGCTGTGACGATGTGAGTGTGAGGAACAGTAATATTATGACATTTTATGGCTGAATGTCCGATCAGCCAATTGTGATGTCAATGTATTGATGAAACAGGAAGTTTCGGAAACATTCTCTTTAACGAGCGAGTACACATTCTGTCATCATAAATTCCTAAAAGGGTCATTTGAGTGAACTTAATTTCAACTTTACAACATTACATACCAACCAAACTTTGTGTGCCCAGGAATACTGTTGTTGTCTGATTTTATGGCCCACAATGGCGAACAATTCCCAATTTTTGTTAGTTTTGTGCATGTTGAGGCATCCTTCGATGTTGATGTTTCAGAAGAGGAAAAAAAAAGAATTATAGAAAAAAACATGTTTTTTTTTGTTTGATATCCAAGCCCTAAAGACAATAACTGAAAAGTATTTAAAATGCAGTTTATAGACATTTATTATTTAGTTACTTTATTTAAAATGCACCCGGTACAAAAAAGAAAAAAGCACTACATGTTGAACAGCATTAGTGTCAGTCTGAAACAATGCAAAGACAATCAATACATAACAGCATCATCTGTATACAAAAAGTACTCTTTCAACTGTTTTTTTTTTTTTTTTTAATCTACCAATGTGTCTTTGGTGTCAACTTAACCTCATCATATCCTTTACTGGATGTTAGCGCTGCCAGATGTAGGCCACATGTGTTTTCACTGAGCAAAGTAGGACATAGACTGCACTACCAGGAGATGAGCGCTTAATTAGATTCGAGGAAGTAGGGTACCCGAAACAACTGTGATAGACTGTGGGGCTGTTTGTAAAATACTCCTTGAACTGGATTTTTTTTCCCTGATTATTACATTAATATTTTAGCTATAAAAAAATTGTGTGAGGAGTGCAGTGAAGAAATCCCCATCCAACTAGATTGTGAACACTTGCTCACTGTCCCCTGTTTCCTGCTTTGTTAAAAGTGGGCTAATTGTTCTTCAATAAAATAGGACAGAGAAAAAAGAAAAAGCAATGGGCGAACGAGACAAGTCATTACAAGATTATATTTAAAGTAAACCTAAAGAGGAAAAACTTTGTCTTCAAGTGACTCTTGCTCACAGACAGTGTTGTCCTTTATTTTTCCAGTCTTTTTACAGCTTCTCTAACTCCCTCTCATGTGTTCATGTAGTTTCCACTTGTAACTTGTGAGAAGAGGAAGTCAGAGGTGTTGTCACGGTACGTTAGGTAGCTGGCTGACATAGCCCTTCATTTGTCAGATCGCACCCACACAACCACATGAGAGGAAAAGTTATTTTATCACATACAAATTGTAGGGGTTGAACAAGTGGTAAAAGTTCTTGACCCTGAAGTTTAATTTCCTGGAAACGTGCCAGGTGTGTGAAAGAATAATATAGATAATTTCCTGATGTTGTTTATAACGTTCAGCAATTGGACAATTATCAATTGATTTGTTATTTCAACAAAGATTTTTTCTAAATTACAATATCGTTTTGTGAAAAGAAATCTATTAGATCTAAAATAAAAATAAATTATTTTTTAAAAAGTATTTCTAATAAAAATGAGTTTTGCAGTACATTTATTTGTACTAATCAAACTGAGCATAATAATATTAACTAACATATTTGTTTGTAATTGTTTTAGTGTATATTCATAATTTGTTGGTAAATGAGGATTTTCAGGCAGGTAGAATTTCTTTTTGAAAATATTTCGCTGATGAAAATGCTTTTTCTCATTTATCTCCCTTTCTTTTTTACTCTTTGTTCTTATTACAGAGAACTGCTTAATGGACCAGCTGTAAATCAATCAACACAGAAAGAGGGGCACATCCCATGGGAGTGTGTGACGGTGCGTGTGAGGGTGTGTGTCCAGGCCGACTGCCCTCACCATGGCGGGGGGCAGAGAGCGCAGCTGCCGATTACAGAGGCCGTGGTCGGTGTACAGGGCAAACACATTTGACCTGTCCAATGAGATGATTGGCCTCACACTTGCAGGTGAAGCCTGGATAAACATTAAGGCTTTTTATTGAACATTCACATGTGGAAACATGTTAACAATTAACCAAGCAGAATGTTTTAAAGCTGTTTCTTATTTTGTCACTGGCTAACAACTCATAAATCTACAACTTGTGATTCATTCTTTTCTTAAAAATGTAATTGCTTTCTTTGCTAAATAGATACTGAAAAAATGGGAATATGTTAATCATTTCTGAAGCTTTGTTTTTTGTATTGCAGGTAATAGTCAGGACCCAGACGAGCCTGTGCTGGAGTTCAGTGTGGGTGAGTTAACGAATACTTTCTATTGTAATTTAAGGAGAAAACTGAGAAAGAATATGGGATAAGAATAACCGTGTACCCTCTGAGTGTTCGGATCAGCATGAGCTTAGCCAATTAGCAACATTGCTGACTTGTAACATCATGAGCACCTGACCTATAAAGCAAAATTGCAGTTTTGTATTCTGTACAGGTGGATTTTATAAAATGTCATATGTTGCAGACATTTCATGCAAAGGCAACAAGTGATCATATATAACCATATATGTCATATCATATATAAATCTCTTGCCAGAATTTTCTGACCCAGAACCACAGCTTTATTGGTTGAAAACAAGAACAATTGCATCTATATCTCTATGCTTTTCTGTTGTGTAGTGTGCACAGACCTGTTGAATCCTGCAAATTTGGACAGAAAACCCAACAGCTTTGTAGCAGTAAGCTGTACAACGCCACCGCAGGCCTTCTGGACCAAACACGCCCAGACTGAGATCATAGAGGTCAGATTCTTCCTCATTTTGTCCTAGTTTAATATGTCTTCAAATCTCTGTAACATGTCATGAGAAAAAAATCACACACACATTGTTTTGGTCCCTTTGTCCACTTGTTAAACTCAAATGCTTTAGATGTAGGTGGGACTCTCTGTGGTGAACCTGCAGTTGGCTGTTTCCTCCACCCACACCTTTCACACCCACTTGGATCACAAGGTTCAGAGCAAAAGAGATGCAAATATACTGACGTAGGCTGTAAATGATGTTGAAACACAGCGCTCTGCTCCCTGATTCTATCACATTACAGTCCCATAATAAAATAACTAAGAGTTTATGCAGTTGCTGAGAACATTTTTAATCATAAGTAACTTGAAGTTATGTAAGTGTTTCTTCCTTAAAATAACACTTGTCCCTTAAAATAACCCTTGTCACTTCCCTGCTGACCCCAGGGCCCCAGTAACCCCATCTTCCTCAGCAGCATCGCCTTCTTTCAGGATTCCAACATTAACCAGCAGACGCAGGTGAAGCTGGCCGTCTATGATGTCAAGGACCGATCGCAGGGCACGGTATGATGCTAAAATAATTCACAATAGATATAAGGGCACAGCAAAAAGGGTGAAATTGATTGCATAATTTCATTGACATCAGACTGTGATAATAGGGATATATGACGCAACAAAGCAGCACACAACAAATAGGACTCCACGTAATACAACTGTTTTGGTCTCCTTGTGTTCAGATGTACATCTTGGGATCAGCACTTTTTCCTGTGAAGGAGTTGTTGCAGGAGAAGACCCACAGATTACAGCTGGAACTCCGGTAACAAATAGACAAAAAAATAAAACATTTAACTGCTTCTTTTATATTTGACAACAACGTATTAAAAAGTTACTTTTAAGTTACCCCCCAAAAACACAAGCAGTTTGGGTAACATTTAGTTTGTCTATATATTTTTGGATGAATTTGTCATTTAGAACTGAGGTACTACTAGTTTCAAGTTTTATGGATTTTTGCAGGGAAATAAAACTGTAATATTATTGTACAGTTCTGCAGAAAATAAGCTGGTGGGAAGCATAACTATAGCAGCCTGGCAGATGGAGGACAAAGCTGATCACAGGATGTCACTCACTCACCTACCAGACGGCATCAATGGCAGGGTGAGTAGTGCATGTTGCTGAGCTTTCTTATTTTTGGTATAAGGTTGACATATCTCACTTAACCCTGTTCATATAACTATCCATTTTATACTAACGGTGTGGTGT